GTTTGACCTGAAGCATATGGAGTTTAGGACCCAGATTACTCCCAGATTTAAGAGCATCTTAGTCCTACAAATACGACAATAACGACGGCCGCTTGCATGTTCTGCAAAAAATGTGCTTTGTCGTGTATCTGACGGACAAACACCAAACCAGTTCCACATCACTGAAGTTTCAGCATTTTTACAAACCAATTCTGGTTCATCTGTTTCACTCAACAATCGGCCATGTGCGTATGAAAACAAAGGCACTGCGCATGCGCGTTTTACTCATATTCTATTGCGATATTTCGTTTTCCTATCGTTGCCTAACATTATACCGGTATTACCGTAAACGGTATAATATGGCCCAGCCCTACTTTACAGTGTAAAGCTGTAAAGCAGAATCAGTGATGAGTTTGTGTGGATGCAGCAGAATGGGATGAGTGTTTGGGATTAAAAACCCCATTTGCAAAATATTTCGAGAAGTTGGGACTAAACAACACCCTGTAAACATGTGAGAACTTAGGAGGCAAACAGCTTCATATTTTCCTCATTCTTGCTTGATGCAATATTACCACCTCTTTTTCAACGACGAGTACAAGATCTCTGCAGTGGGTGACATTTCTGGAGCGCAGGGAGGCCATTTTAGCTCCTGAACTCATACTGCAGAGTCATGCTGTTGGAATATATACCTAATGTAGGTTGGCATCATCTTAGTGAAATAAGCAAGAACTTCTCTGAAAAATGCTGTAACCCAAACCTTCTGTACTGTCTGCCGTTTGTTTTGGCTCTCTGATAAGCAACAGGGTCAGCCTAGTTGCGTGTTGACAGTACTTCCTTATGTGAAGAGGATATGAAACTATAGCTGTAACGTGCGTGTCCCCACTGAAGTGATGTTCTGTCATTGATAAATCTATATTTTAACATATTATTAATTCAGACAAATTTCCACAACACTGGAAACAAAATAACAACTGTTCATATTCTTGATCACTTGCAAACATGTTGCTTTTCTGCACATTTTTGTGAAGTATACAGACTTGAATATGGTACATTCAGATTTTCCAAAGTAGAACTGCAATACCAATGTGGGCACATTCGAGACAACAAGCTGGGCGTACTAGCTAAAGCTGGGACTATATTTTCTGCAACTGTAAGTCCGCTCGGGTCCCAATGATGTAAATTTAGTGTGAGGGTCCGAGTGGATGACTGCACACCTGGCCGTTTTCTGTAACCTCACTGAATTTACATTGAAATGCACGAACCACGCATGCTCGCCAAACTAGCTGCAAATCTGATGTCTGATTAAACCCACAAATCATTGTTTATCGAAGCTGTATCACACGTAAAAATGTGCACATCAGTCTCAGTTTAAAGAAACTCTCACAAACTCTGCTGATGTGATGCTGCAAGAATTTATAACAAGTGAAGGAGGTGCTACGACACACAATCAGCAGTAGGCAGATGCTTAGACTTCTTTTGGTCTGAAAAATCCCAAGTCACGTTCAGAGACATCAGGACAACATAAGACTGAGATTCAGACACATCGTAGATCTACTAGACTTTAACAGCTGTATTGTTTCAGAGACGTCAGTATATTATGTAAGTATTATCCATCACTGACAGAGAATGAAAATAAACAAAATATGTGAAAGCGGAATTTGACAGCTGTGTGCACCAATCTCTGCACAAACTACTGTTTATTATCAGTTTGTGTCCTGTGTGTGTGTCATGTAATGAGCAACAACAGAGCCTGTCCCACCAACACTCCACCTTAACTTTCATTAAAATATCGACAACAGAAAAATGCAGGATTCAGCTCTCAACATTCAGAGGTGACCAGCTTCACACAGCTGTCCCTAAATATAACAGCAATGCTACGTGCTTGTTTGTTTTATTTTTCTCTTTTTGCTAGTTTGTCATCCAGATCAAGCTCACCGAATCTGCTAATACAGTGTAAGACTCTCCACTTTCCTCTTAAATGTTTCCTCTTTTAGGTTGGAGTCCATAACAAACAGTGGGAAGGGACTTTGAACCCATTTATTTTTCTACATCCATGCCAGGTCCAGCAAAACGTAAGGTGGTGCAGGCTCTGATTTAACTGATTCATTTTTTTGTTTTTTTAAAGGCAGAACATTTTTACAACTGGAAAATGTAAAACATTACTCACAAATACAAGAACTAAAAATGAAAAATAACTACTCCATAATAAAGTCATTTTTTTCCTCCTCTCTCTTTCTTTTGTCTTAGCTGCAGGGAGAGGGAGCCACACGTTTGCCAACCTCGGCTCAAAGCCTTGGCAGGGCACTAACAGCTGTGAGCCAACCCCCTGTGTCTCTGGCATTTCTAATAAATCAATGAGTGAAGAAAATCCACTGAGCACTCTGTCCTCTCTGATCCCGGGCCTCCTTAGGGCAACTATCGCAGCCACAACCAGCGCAAAACCCTTAAGACGCCACATTTTTACGACAATGTAGATGATGAAACACCCAAATGCTGCGGTTTTTACACTGAGGGCCACTATTCTTTTTGAAGAGACTTCTTCTTATACCCAGCCATGTTGCTGAACGGTCACCAATTAAACTAATTAGCTATGTTATGCTTTTATGTTATTTTCAAACAAACATGGGCTAACGCATTTCTGAAAATCAGCACGTTCTGCTTTCTTTCTACTTGAGTTGCTGTTACTAGAGCAGAACAGAGTAAACAACACTCAAGCCCAGAGATCTGTCAGATTATTCTCCACGACAGAAACCTACCTTCAGCAGGTTCTGACAGTCTTCCAGGCCGATCTCACTCAAGATGCTCTTCACTGCCTTCCTCGCTTTGCGGATCTTTTCGATATTTCCAACTGGGACCTGATACATGATTCCTCACAAGCCCTTATAAAGGAAAATAAGTTTTCAACTGGTTAAAAAGCATTCGTGCTCTTCTATTAATTATAAAATAATTATCAAAATATGCTTTTATTGCATTTATAGTGCAAACATACATCATATTTCCCAGCCTACAAAATTACCATTGTTTTTTAATTGTAGCATCATTAAATTAGTAAAAATATTTTCTGTAGCCCCAAAACAAGTGAATAGTATGGTGAAAAGGTGAACATGGCACACACTGGGCAGAATAACAAAGGTTAGCTGAGGTCAGGTAATGTATGCAGTATTACATCAATAATTTATAACCCTATTATGCCAATAAATAAAACACATAAACAGTAAATGAAGATGGAATAACGGACGGGGTAATAATGATGTAGTTAAATAATCCACTGCAGCATAGTGACAACCTGCCTGTATTTAGTACTGATTGATGAGAATCACAGCATGGCTGAATATGGGTATAATGTCTGCACAGGCTCTGTGGTAACACAAATAAAAGCCGTAATAGTTAGTGTGCATCAGCTGATATCACTCTCAGCATCTGTGCAAAAACACCAGCCGTTCGCCAGTGAGCACTACAAAAAAAGTTATTTTCAGTCAGTTAAAAGTGCGAGATTTAGATCACCTGTAAACTAAAAGCCTGTCCCCCTCACACATGCCATCCATGCTAACACTACAATGTGTCTGCTGGCCGTACTGAAGTCCTAAAAAAGCCCGGGGAGGCACGCTGACAGCAACAAGCCGGTGACTAAGACGGCGAGGGCGCATCCGCCTACACGAGGATGCCCACAGCCTCCTCGCACATATTTACCTCGTCCAATTTTCAGCGTAGATTAACGTTAGTTGTCGCTGTGCCACCACCGACAGAGCTAAGGGTTTTCCCACTTCCACCGGCCCGCAACTGTGTGTGTCAGTGAGCTGCGTCTACTGGCGGTTCTGCGCGCAGACGCTCCCCCGAGCGGCATTCGCTGTCCGTGCACACCGCTCTACGAACACCCTGCTTAAATATGAAACGTGATGTTTGCGAAACCACTCCGGAGACAAGTTATTTTTTTTCTTTTTTGGTCCAGCTTTTGTCCCTTTCTTCCCCCCTATTGAGGAAAAAATGGCGCTGAAGTTCAGGATCTGACGTAGCTGCCTCATTTGCATACAGCACAAACTGACCAATGGGAGAGCTCGTCTGCTAAAACCCGAATAACTTTTTATTCTCTCACTGGAACCCTCAGCCCGGCTCCCGGTTGCCCAGGTGACGCACTCAGTGGTTCACTTTCTGAATTTCATGCCACATCTGACCTGGTGAGCCCACATTTACCATTCCCATCTAATAGCTAGGTAGGGGGCGTGGCTCCTGCGACCCCCCACCCCCCACAGCAGCAAGTCACGTGATACATGCTCAAGCCCAACCAATGAGGTGTCGAGAAAATGAGCTAAATGGGTGGTCTTTGGCGTGTGATGTCATATCATGCTACTTTCCGTACCCAATTACTTTGAGCCACCATTTTGATTGAGGGAGAAAGCGAAATGAGTAGGTTAGATGTCTTTAGGCTAGCAAAAGATTAAGTGTTAGGATTTTTTATTGTGTTTTACAGTTACAACTTGACAAAATGGCTAGTTACCATTATGTGGTAATTTATACCAACTGCGAAATCTTATTACATATATTTTATACATAGTTGTAGCTAACTGTAAAAGTTGATTAGAGCACTTTCCAGGTTAACAATTTTACCTTCAGCTTTTCCCGCCTACAGGTAATTCAAGCACAGCTTGAGCGCTGCGTTAACCACCTATCTGACTGTCGCCTGCATGCTAACCTTAACAACCAAGGTCAGTTTAGGCAAAAACTGGATGAAATATAAACAAATCAATAATCTCTTCAACAGTCTCTTCTTTGTATTGGCCTGATAACCAACACTTGCATTGCCTGATTTAGGCTCACACCCAAGTCAGATACTGCAAACAGAATGGACACACGAAGTGCCATACTTACACATATAATGACTGTACTCCAATATGTATCTCTAAGGCTAACAGCTAAGTTAGATTAGCATTGTCTCCAACCCAAAGTTAGCGAAGACAAAGATTTCCATTCTTTTTCTTTGCGATTTCCTTTGCTCATACCAACAAAAGGGTGTTCACTTTAGACCAATTAGCAATGGTCCAATCAGACTCAGAGTTGCTCTATTTGTGCAGTCAAAGAGTGGATGATGTGAATCGCTCAAGCATATAATTTCAGATCAATCGAGTCTGTGGTAACCTTGAATTTAAGCTATTTTCTCTGCATTGCTGTGTGTATTTTCCCCTTGCAGACCATTTAGGTGCAAGATTTTATTCATTTATTTTTTATTACAATCAGATCCACTGCTGTCAAGCACAATGCCCAATTCATCAATACACACTCCAAACACAATGGAAAGCACTGTGCATGATCCATCTGCTGATCTATTCATCTTTTAAACCAATTAAAATGCAAGCAACACTTCTCTAATGAACACTTGAGGCACATGAGACACTTGATAGGAGCTGTAATGATCCCCGTTAGACAAATACATCCCTCAGATTAACTCGATTCTGACGTACAACATCGAGGAAATAATTCAGCAACTTTAATTCACTCTGAAGTGTATTTATTCTGAGGAAATAACTTTGCACAAAACACATCAATATTTCCTTCGTGCCCCAGTGCTGCTTATGGTCTGCAAAAAAAAACATCTTTCTTATAAATATGTAATTATCAAAATTACACCCTGTTTTGTATATTGTCATGGATCTTACTGGAAGCTTCAGAGAACACTAACAGGTCCGAGCTGGGTGTCTCATTCACTGACAGGGCATGCAAGGTAATTTACAAACAGTGAGGGCAGGGGTTTATCCATTTTATCCAGTGTACTCTCAGCGCAGCTGTGGCCGCACTGGCATTCTGATCTGAAGGATCAGCTCTTAATTTGATCTAAGTGCTGAAAATGAACCACACTGCTTGAACACATACGCAAATGTTGCAATGTATGGTGGAAGCACAACACTGTACAGGTTGAACTCAACTGTAATTTTTGTAATGTTTAGGATGAAATCCCGCAAGCGGGTCAGTTTTCATTATAACAGGACCCACAGCAGCAGGTGATTAAAAGCTCCTTTCTGTCTAAAGATGCAATGCAGTGTGATAAACTGCTGGAGTGCTTCTAGTGGACAGCCAGCAAATGGTTATTACCCTTCCCCTCAAATATATTTGCACTGTCAGTTTAGTGCTGAAAAGATAGCATTTCTCCAATGGGAAAGCTAGGATCCATAACTAACTTCAATAGACCTAAATTACTTTACCAGCATACTATTAGGATACGCAGACCACTAAAAAATATGAATAAAACTGTTAATTCTAGTTTGACAAAATCTAACTAGGCATGGTCCATGAGTATTAACAGCCAAAATTTTAGCTTTTTTCCTTTTTGAGAGCCTTTTAATTGATGCAGAGGTCCAATGACATCACCCCATTTTAATTTGGTAAATACTGCAAAACTAATGCCATTTTAACCTAAATTTTAATTAACAAGCAAACAAACTGAGGTAACACCAGGGAAAAAAAAACTAACCAAAAAAGTAATAAAGTATTTGATCAACACAAGCAAGGGAAGGCTTGGACTGAGACCCAGGTGACGACATAGGAATATTTGCAACTTCCCACATCTTGCATTGGACAAATAGACCACATATTATTTTAGCTTTTAAAGTGTTTTTTTTTTTTTTTAAAACACCAATAACTAAAAAAAAATAAATGCAAGCATAATACTGGTTGGTGCAGCACATTCTTGGCCATTTAAAACATCAACTTATTTCAGTTTTTAGTTCAAGTCTACTTTTGTTAACTAGCATTCGATTTTTGTTAACTTTATTAACCACAAGATTCGTGTTAGGCGTTTGTAGTTTTTACAGAGTAAAAATAAGGTGATGTCACTAGATCTGTGAATCACTTAAAGGCCCGGTTTCTCTATAACTAGGCTGTTGTAGTAGTTTTATTCAGATTTAAAGAGTCTGTATATCCAAGTAAAGTCAGTGTCTTCAAAATAACCCTAGCTGTGGGATGCAGCAAATTGCTAAAGCTCCAAATTATGCTGGCCTACAGGAACAATGTTGTATTTCCAGTCCCTCCACCCACCAATGCCAAAAACCACACAAACACCAGATGAAATGATTTCAGTCAGAAATGTATATTAAATTAATCACTTATTACTTTAACGAGCACAATGTACAGTCAAAGAACAGGCTATGGTCCATTAGTGCCTTAGACAAGCAAATTAATACATTAGTCACTCATGACACACAGGGGCGAGAGTTGATTTAAAAAAAAAAAAAAAACAAAAACCCCGATGCTTCAGGTCATCTTTAACATGAGTGAACATGTAGCTGTAGAGGAGACTGTGCAGGAAGTCCCTCGACTTCAGAGGCATGAAAGGTCTGTCATGTTATTTAGCATTTGCACTGCCCCAGAGAGGTCTGTGTACAACTAGCATCTCTCACTTTAAAGATACAGACATGTACATCCATATCTGACACATACAAATCATTTGTGTTTGAGCATGTGTCAAAAGAAGAAAAAAAATAAAAATTGAGAGAGCGAGAAACCCCCCTCCTTCCTTTGTTGGTTTTCAGAGCCAGCAAAGGAGCTAGTGAACAAGGTCCAAATCCCCTCGACAAGTGTCACAGTATTTTTCCTTTAACCCACATAAGATTGTGCCTTTTAAACCAGATTAACCTCTGAGAGAAAGGAGTGCACTGAATACAGTGTCCCTGTATCCAAGCTACAGCTCAGCACAGAGAGAATCTCCTACAGTAATTCCATCAGGGCTTTCGAGTAAAAGGAAACCACTGAGGTCACAAATGGAAATCACAGCACACGTAATCCATGTATCATTTAGAAAACAAAAAACAAACAAAAACCCAATAACTTATCACAAAAACACTGTTAAATGGGCCATTGCAATAATACCTGGGCAATAAACACACAAGGATGGAGCTTTAAATTTGCCCAAATTATATCTGAATCCAATAAATATTAAAAACAAAAACAAGATGCATTGAGTGAACTGCAATACAGAAAAATACATCATTGTCATCATTTCATTTAAGCAGCGCCAAGTGAGGAGTCCGAGGTGCAGAGTCCTCACGTGGCAGTGATTCTTTTAAACACTTCAAAAATTGCCTACAGACCAAATGTACTGTTCTCAGACACAGGAGCTACACAACTATTGATAGGTAATCAATACAAAGCATGTGATTCAATGGATCTAAATCAATTGTACATTTTGTAAACTGAATTTTAATTAGGAAACAAACCACCCCAAACATATGGGGGGGGGGGGGTCCCATCTCCAAAGAGTCATCCATTTTGTTGCATAATGTCATAAAAGCTTGGGCAAGAGTTCTTTTAGCAAACAGATTAAAGTCGCAAAGAGTCAAAACTAGGATCATCTTCCAGGAAAAAATTTGAACTGAGGTATCAAACAACCAACCGTGTGTCATTGCTGGAGGTACAAAAGTGAAATTCTGGAAGAAATTACAGGACACTGCTGTTTTCCAAAGCGGCTGGAATGTTGACCATATTTAACCCCTCATCCCAAACACCACACTGACTTCTCCTCTCACACAGTGAAAGCAGAGGTAAGGCAGATCTGTGCAATAAAATATGGGACAGAGGCCGAGGGTACTTAGGGACTGTACGGGAGAAACGAGAAGTTCTTCATGGCGCCACCCAGTGTCACGCCGGCCTCCTGCATTTCGTACCTGAGGACAACAGTGTGACGATCAATTCTCTTAATGTCTCGTATCGTTGCTACATTTTCATGAGTGGCAGACACCAACGCACTCACCAGTCAGAGGTGGAGACTGTGTAGTAGACTGGCAGTGGGGGGGCAGTGGAGAGGCAGCTTAGGTCCTCTAGGCCGCACACCCCCATGTTGGAGAACAGAAGCCAGTCTCCCACACTGAGCTCTGGTAGCAGGCAGCGCTCCACCACCTGGTCTAAGGGGTCCAGTGAGGGCCCCCACAGGCTGCTGGCATACATTGCCTCCTCAGTACCAACGCACGCTGGGGGGGGGGGGGCAACAAAACCCATCAAAACAGGCAAAAAACAGACAACAGTAACCATGTGCGTGCTATCACATGATCTATTCAGTCATGAATTGAGTTTAGTCTCCTCTACTAACCTTGTGTACTGACGGGGCAGGGATGGAGTTTCCCAGCAGCTTGCGGCCAAATGGACCATAAACACCCTCATTCATGTAGTACAGGAACTCAGTATCCTCATTGTTCTCACCTGAGTGAATACATTAGATAACCATTTTAGAAATCTAAAACAAGAGTTACTTCAACTAGTTTGGTTCTGATTGTGTGAAAAGTTAAATAATCACAACCTCAGAGAGTAAAGTAACTCACCTTGAGCTAGGCTGTCCCAGTGGCGAGTCACCACCTTCTTGCCAATAATGTTGACAGCCAGGCTGAAGGCGGAGGCCACGTAGAAGCTGCCCGGCTGGGCCAAGACCTGCACACCAGAAAGCTGGGGGAAGTAGGCATCCAGCAGTGGCCTGACTGCAGTTTCAACCTGCATACAGTGAACAGACAGATCAGATATTTTCAGATTAAAAAACAAAAACAAAGGACTGGATCATAGGAATAAATGCTTTTGCTTATTAGCTAATAATAAGCTTCTTGCTAATAAAGCAGTTAAAAAGAAGATTGAAGCATTTCTAAATGAGTCACTTCAGTTCACTACTTGCCTGTTTCAGCTGAAACTCCGAGCCAGTAAATCCACCACCAATGTCAAGGATGTTCATGTTAAACCCCACTTCCACCTGAGTAGATACAGACAGTTGTCATATCAGATAAAGTCATTTCAAGACAGAATACTGGGGGGTAGGGAATCAAGTTAATATATGTCTACTACTAGAGTTATGATTTCATAATTAGGACAGCACTCACCCCCATGTCAAACACACAGCGGGCATCTGACAGTGCATGGGTGTAGGCCTGTTGCAGGTCCTGGCAGGAGCTGGGGATGTGGAAGGTTACCCCCACCACCTCGACTCCCAGCTCCTTGGCTGCTTCCAGCAGGTGCCGGCAGCTCTTGAGAGAGGAGCCGAAGGTCATGCTGGTCTCAGCCGCGTGGGCCTCTGTGGTCAACTGCAGCAGCAACCTGGAAGGGGTGGGAGGGGGGTCAGATGCATTTTAAATTAGACCATGGATCTTCTTTTGGACTTTGCGTTTATTAAAAAAAAAGTTTGCTCATTTACTTTGCATTAGGATGCAGACGGGCAATCTTGGACAACTCTGCCTCATTTTCACACACAAGATGCTGGATGTTGTTCTTGGCAGCATACTTGATGTGTGCCAGTTGCTTGAACACACTTGAGAGGATGATGCTTTCCGGTGGTACACCATAATCCAGCACCAGGCTCATTTCAGCCTGCAGGTAATAGGATGCACAAAAAAAATAAATAAAAAAATAAAAAATAAAACCACACACTCATTAAAACAATCAAAAGCAGTACTAAATGCGTTGCATAAGTTGAAAGGATAACAGTCATCAGCTGACTACCAATCAATGATGCTTGTAATGTAATTTCCCTTAAAAAAAAAATGAAGTGCTTACATAAGAGGATGAAGCACTTTGCAGCTTAAAAATAATTACTGAGTCAAAACTACATGAAAAAGCTTACCTTGTTGGCGCAAATGAAGCCCAGGCCCAAGGATGCCAGCAATTCAATGACCGCAGGGCTGCTGTTGCACTTGACTGGGTAGTAGGGCTGCACATGTGGCACCAGGCTCTGCCAGCACAAATGCTTTCGCATCAGTGCACCAAGATCACCCACCACAAAAGCACTTTTCTCCACCTGAGAAATCAGAAAGAAGGTAGGGTGCAGGTAAACAAATTTATCAAACAACATGTATAACTACAAATCCCATCAGATTAAGTAATTCACTGATGCAAAATAGAATTCAGGGATAGCCTCAAGAGAGTGTTATAGAAGCTGAACTGACCAGAGCCTGTTCACAGATGTGTGCATCAATGACATCTTCCAGAGTCACTCCTCCCTCCAGTAATTCAATGATGTAGCTGGGTTGGTCAGTGAGTCCTTTCATCTCAACCGTATTCCGTTAATCCGACAATCATAAAGAGCAGATAAACAAGTCAGGGGGTCACGACTGAGCCAATGGGTCCTGCCGGTATGCAACAAACTGGAGAGAAGAGGGAAAAAAAAATAAAAATAAAAAAAAAGAAGAAGAAGAAAGGAATATATGACTATGGCCTTTAAAAAACAAAACAGCTTTGTGTGCAGAATTGAGTCCTTCTCCCACACACACCTTCACTATAAAAATGCATGCATCTTTGTGTATAAGACACACATAGCTACTCACATGGACAAGTCAGGAGATGGACCTGTCCCTTTATCAGCTAGGATCCCAAGGTGGCTCAGCGTTGAAGTCAAAGTGCTCCCGGTAAAGAGCCGCCCCTAGGCCCTCTGGGTAGCGTTCATACACCTGTGCAGAGACAGGGGAGCCCTGAAGTACAAGCACTCAGTATTAGATATAGATCCAGAGGAAAGACACTTTCAGGAAACATGTAGCACAGCGTTCTTAAGGAGGCTCAACAATCCTGATTGTTGCTTTTGATGTTTAGGTCTTATCTATTGAACATTTGTCATGGGTCAAAACCTGAATGACACAACACCCCTATCGGTTCAGTTACACCCGACTTAATGCCTGTAACTGAACTACTACCCCTGTCGTTAGTGTTTTTATGGCTGCTGGTACTCCTTACGCGATAGACGTCCAAATAAAACACGCGCATGCGCTGTAGTACTCACAACAGTGTCACAACTTGACAAATTGAGTATTATTTCAATGCGCAGACAAAGCATAATCCCTAACTAGAGCAAACTGATGTAATACGTTACATTTGACTAGTTAAAAGAAATTTGTACTGCTCAAAGGAAACGCCATTGTGACAAAACACACTGCTGAAAGGTTCATGGAAACGACAGAACCGCTAACTGACGACGGAAGGAGCTTACGTTAGAGCTGGGTGTCCTTAAAATTTCAATAACAAGCCGCTAAATGACACAATAAACGAATAAAAGCTACATAGTGGTGCCGTGACTGCGTCACAATTTCTTAATACATTGAGTTGAACACGAAAACATCCGGAAAACACATATTTCAATATGTGGCTCGGTCATGTGCAGCAAGAAGGCAGAAAGACGAGCCCGCCATGTTACGTCCGCCCGCTGAACCCAAAGAACTCAATCGAAGTACTTCGCTGTACTTACGTGAGATAACGGCCAGAAGGTTTTGGAAAATCGTCTTCTCTTTTTCGGCGGAATTTTTAAAGAGTAGTGGGCACAATGATATAAGAAAGAAAGACGGCTGTTTTTGCCATATGTCTAGGCGAAGAACGCGCGTCGCTCGAGTAGTGTCTTCTCTGCCTGAGAGTGGGGTGGAGATAGACTGGAAAAGGAGGCTGGGGAAGAGGAAAAGGTAATCAACGGCTCGTGGGCGTGGCTTGAACGTTCAGTTTGACCAATTAACGCTCTGCATTCGTGAGCGCATACCAAATACGCATTTCCGAAAATTATACAGGCTGCAGTACATCTGTGATGTTTTTTCAGGTTGCATAACCATAAACTTTCCAAACAAGGCCACCCAGTAAATGAGCTCAAGAATACAACTGCTCCGTTTGTCAGGGAACAGCTCACACGCACTTTTGTGGTTGCTACAGAGCTATAGGTGCTATATTTTATATTTAGGAAAATATGTATAGGAAAATACTATGTATAGGGCATAAACGCTATGTAAAATAATAAACAGAATGTCAAAACAATATTTTCTAGAAAGCAGTAATTGTTTTTAAATGTCACATTTGTCAAAAGATATCAGCAATCAGCATCTGTCTAATTTCCAGAGATAAATAGTATTGCTCAGGCGTGGCTGAAACTTTGCACCTGCTTTGTGTTTAGTTCAGCAGTTCGCTGTGAATGAACAACGAACACAACAGATTAAAATAACATATTTTCTCGATTTCTGTTGAATGCAGTATTTAAACGCTCTGTGAGTGTGCCAGTAAGGGTCTGCTGTCTGCATCAAACTTGTGAGAAAAAGGAAGAAAATATCTGAACATTACCACAGCAATTTTTTACCACATTAGTGGAAAAAACACACAGACCAGATGAAAATAGCTATCTGTGCGGAGTGTATGTCTTATATCTGTGGTTTTCATTTACTGATTATCTTCCAGTATTCTGTTTAGCCAAAGAGAAAACTTCTGGTCTTATTAGCATTACGACTAAACACAAATGCGCTGTAAAATGTAAGCAACCGTCTTTGCATATAAAAATCACATGGACAAGGCAGGAGATGTCCGACTATTAGTTATAGAATTCCAAAATGGAATTATTTCTAAACATATTAATGCAAATATAAATTATACTTATAGCCATGCTGGTCAATTTCCAAAGTACATTAAAGAACAATATGCAATAAATATGCCATCACTGTGGATTCTTTGCACCTGTTGGCAAATACCTTCAGATTATTTGCTATCTTTATGAAAGTCAATGGTGACAAAACAAAGCACATTAAATTTACAATAGTATAATAGTAAAATAGTGTGCTTTGGATTTCTGTTAATTGCAGCATTTCTGCCTGTAACCAATTTCAATTTGTTTGATCTTTTTCTTTGGTGTAGTGGTTTAAATACTTATCTGTAAAGAAAAGAAACTAACAGGCTGAATGGTGAACCACAGCTGAATAATATATCATCAAGTCCAAGTTATGTTTAGTCAGTTTTTTTCAGTATTTTGTATTATTTTGTATTAATTGTTGTCTGTTGTGGCTGTATTGACAGTGTGCATGTAAAGATGGATGCATCCCCACTTCAGAATAAATCTAACTATGGGTTACCTGAAGCTGAACGTGAACCTGAGGCCAAACATTAGAGAATGTATGCATGGGAATAAGGCCCGCACTTGTTAAACTTGATTAAAAGGGTATCTAACTAAGTCATACCCACTCAACCTGCCCTGTCTTTAGGTAGCCACCTGAGTCTTTTTCTAAAGCTTTGCTTGGTCACTCACACTTTTATGACACTGAGAACACAAAACATGCAAACAAAACATGCTCCCCGTTTCACTTGTACACGTTTTGGTATTGGTGCTTTCGTCACGTGATGAAATAAGATGTGAGAGTTCTTCAGAATGTTCTGTTCTTTGATCCTCAAGATCTGTCACGGTCATCATAGCCTTATTTTAGCTGCGATAATTTCAGCTTAAAAGGGATGTAAAATTAATTTCAACAAACACACAGTTCAGTATGACGCTAAAGCACTGGAACACTGCAAAGATAAGTGCGGAAACACAGCCTGCAGGCACTTTAGTCGTATGACTTTCTGTTGCACCCAACCAACGTGTTGCACGTCTTCACCCGTGTGTTTGTAAACAGCGTAGAGGTCCTAGAGCGCTTATCTTTGCTTTATGACACTGCAGTAGACACAATGTTCACAAAACAGCATGACCCAAAAATGCTTAACCAAACAACATGGAAACTGTTTTGCACATATTGCAGAAACAGCTAAACAAATGACTGTACTTCTGAAAAATTACTCTAAAGCTTACTCTAAAACTTCAAAGTCTATTTGGGCAATTTGGACAAGAAAACCATCAACTGAAGTATAAAAGTATGTGCTTCAAGTTTCATATCGGGGCCCATGGGGTCAGGAGTAAATTAGATTTAGTCACTGTTTGTAGCAAATAAATTCAATTTGCCACCATAACTAACAAATATTTTCAAAGTTAACACACTTTCCATTGTGTGAAGACTGCAGTAAGAAATCTGCAGGGATGTTTCATGTGCTCACTGCAGTTTAAGTAGTGTTACTAGAAATATTAAGACAGAAATGGCAGTATCACATTTTAAAGGGCCCGATGACTAAAATGCACTCACTGGCCACTGTGTTAGGTACACTTGCTCAACTGCTCATTAACACAAATATCTAATCAGCCAGTCACATGGCTGGAAATCAGTGCATTTAGGTCAAGATGACCCACCGAAGTTTAAATTGAGCATCACATTGGTGGGAAGAAAAGGTGATTTAAGTGACTTTGAACGTGGCATCGCTGCGGGTGTGAAATGGGCTGATCTGGGTATTTCAGAAACTGTACTGGGATTTTCCAATGCAACAATCTCTGTAAGTGCAGAACAAAAAAAGAAGCATCAAGCCTGAAAAACACACATTTAGAGCAGAGGAAAAGTATACAGTCTTTACTGGACTGTGTGCAGAAAAAGAAAAAACTAATTTCAACCTGTTTACCTCGCTTACCTTTTTACGCTGTGCCTTTTTATGCCTTAACCTGCATAATTTGTGTCCACTACATTAATGTATTTGTGATTCAAAAGTTCAGTTTCTTCCTTTCTGTACCGACCTCTTGTGGTAAGATGTAATCATGGAACTGCTGTGCTGTCTTACTTGTCAGTTACTGCCTTTAGGTGGCACTGAATGTCTATGAGACAGCAATCTTCAGGTATTGGTAATGTGTCAGCAACCTCTATCTCTATACAGTACACTGCATACTTAACTTTTTTGGACCTTTTTATGTTGCTAGGCATAGGCAGGATAATGGCATCACATCGAATTTTAAGTGTTAAATATACACAGTGACTGATTTTTATGTAAACAAAAAAAAAATGTGTTTATTTGTTTACATGAAAATCTAAATAACCTGCTACTAAATAACCCTTTTGAAGTAACTCTCAGCAGTTATTTGGACATGAAATAGTTGGTAGACATGTTATTAACCCTATGAGAAAACTGTTACTTTTATTCAGGTACAGTGCCATCATAAGGCTACAGGAAGCACTTTTATTCAAACACAATTTCTTATCAAAATGGCTTTAAAAGAGATCTGTGGCAGTATGTCATAGCTCAGCTGTACAGACTAAAGATCAAGTGTACAGGTGTAAAGAATAAATAAGACATAGTTATGCTTGATTTAGAGAGACTAGAACAAAGCTGTTGTTTTGTTAGTATATCCCCGTGCAACAGTTTTGTTCTAGCAGACAGTTTCCTGCACAACGTTTATTTGTACTTTATACAGCATTTCACTGCAGGCTTTCCAGCCCACTCTCTCGCTCTAGATCTGTGCTGGAATAATTTGCAAGCGCACGTTAGGGAGGCCCCTTCACTGTCCACTTTTAAATCGCATCTTAAAACCCACTTTTATTCTTTGCCTTTTAACCTCAGCGAGACTTAGTTTCTCTTGTAATGAAATTAGTTATTTAATTAATTATTTTACTTTTTCTTTTATCTGGCTTTTATTTATATCTTATGTATTTTATTATATAGTTCCTACGTACAGCACTTTGTGTCAGCTGTGTTTTTTTAAAAGTACTTTATAAATAAAGGTGGTGATGATGATGATGATGATGATGATGATGTGGTTCTTCGCTACATTAGCAGTTGTAGTGAGCAGAACTGGTACAAAGTTTGCAATGTTGTTGAGTAGAACTTTTAAAGGATTTTTCTTTTTGATTTCTGTCAGGATTGTCTGGACCATGTCATCTCTGATGCCACGGGAGAAGATGGCCTGGGTTTCTATTGATGTGATAGTTTTGGAGACTCGATCCAAAGGGATGAAGGAGGGGGAGGAGGGGGAGGAGGACGCTCCCAGAAGCCGTGCAGGATGCAGGGAACTACCCCTATTACCACTTCCTGTGCGGTAAGCAGTTTGGAGCAATGCTCCTGCTTCTTCCCTTTAAGGATTTCAATGTAATTTCTGACCATGTTGAGGAGTTTAGGTGTTCTGTAGAATAAGTTCAAGTTAAAAAGTTAAAAGAATGATCTTTTCAACATATTTAAAGCATCACAGAAATATTGAAACACTGTAGCTGGACCATTAACAAACGTACGTCAGATGTAACTCACTGAAATTTAGGAGGTATGGCCTCTGGAAATTTAAGGAGCATCCAGGCTTGAAACTCTATGTCCCTCATTTTATTAATAATGCTTACTACCCTGAAACAGGAAACACATTAACAGTGCAGTTTTGTTTAGATATTATGTGAACATAATGAAAAAAACAAATCTCCAAATTACTACAAGTCTTGTGAGTTTTCTCTCACCAGTTTCAGTAGAGTTTTGGCTTCTTTTTAGTCAAAATCCTCAAGTTCAAACTCCCAAAGCCTTAAAAAGAAAACAAAACAGAGGTTTTCTCTCTGCATTTACACTTTAACACAAACAGACTGTCCGGTGTGACGGGTATGGTCTGTAGGTATCAGTGTAACTCACTGCTCTCTGAGCGTCTCTTTGCTCTTCTCCACCAAGAGATCTCTCAGATTTTCAATAGTGATGTGTGATGGGATTTGATTCCCCTGCTGAAGTCTAAGGAACTCCATCATCGTTGGAATCTAAAAATAAAAGGAGCCATTTCATCAACACCACTCTCAGGTCCTCAGATATTACCTGATATTTTATGTCAACTGTGGGTCTTACCTGAGCCCTGTAGCCTGGAAGATGCCAGCAGATCTTCACAGCCATGTTGTAAATGGGTGTATTGAACAACACCTGTCAAAGAAATAAGAAGTTCCTTATTGCTACTTAAGTCAATTCTCAGTTTGTCAGCTTAAAAACCACATCAAATTCTTCAATTTGTTGAAATGCAGTACAAGCAAAAACTGTCAAATACCCTAATGGGTTTGTAGATTCCTCTACTTGCTTCCATTGAAATGTTGTTGTTGTATCACAGTCGGGAATAAAAACTGTCAAATACACTCCAAAAATTGTGTTATGTTAAATGTCTCCGGACTGGTTGTTCTGAAGTTCTGCTACAGAAAGGGAACAAGGACAGCAACACCTCCACCTTTATCTGACAACACATCTTTGACGATTTGTCTTCTCAGTATCATAATAATTATATTGTCAGAATATTTTGGGTTGCTAAAAACAACTAAAAGCATAAAATTCCGTTTTCAAAATTCAGTACTGATGTCCCACATTATGAAAAGTTAGCCCAAACGGTGTACAATGGGTTTCCTTTCTGTTGACCAACATAAAAACTTTTCCAAAAAGCAATTAAAGAGATAAAACAAAGATATTTTGAAGGCATTTTGGAATTACCTGATTTAGCAGAGCTACTTACCCACTGTAGCTCAGTTCATGGACTTGAATTAGGAGGGACAAGATAAGTGAATTCAACTGACTCCAATTTACTGACATCTAATGGTGAGATTTTACATACTGTAACTTTAATGATAGTTGAAAATAGCCCAGGCGCACAGCTGCTAGGTGAGTACACAGTTCCTGTAATATGTGAATAAAAATAAATATAAGCTTTACCCTCTTTTCCAACCAAAAGTTCCCAGTAGAGTTTTTGACCTTCTTTCCGTTTTTGTTTTTAATATCTTACACACACACACACACACACACACACACACACACACACACACACACACACACACGAAAAACAGTTATGACTCGCACTCTCACCTCTTATTTTAAGTAGCTTAGTATAATGTATCTGTTACTTTAGCAATTTTCTCCCACTTCCCCATTAGGTTGATCTCTTTTACTATTTATTTATTACCATCAACTATTTGCTCAGTGTTAGTTTGATAAGTATTTTTTAAATATAAGGTAAATTTTACTTTTAATGAATTATACTTTATGCTTAAGTCTCCTTGTTCCTAGTACAACCTGCTTAAGACACGTTCCACTCAATCTCACGAGGAGTTGATCACGTGACAGCCATTTGCGCACGCGCAGATTTCCTCCTCTGATCAGCTGACTTTGAGTGAGATGCTCTGTTGAAGGAGCCCCGTGTGTCTAAAACCCGCTGTTGTCTCCGCTATGTGCAGGAAACTGCGTGTGTTTGGCTGAAATATCCCGAGTGGACTGCGCGCTGAAGCCGTTAAACGTGTCGGTGAGTACCGCGGTGCTTCGGTTAGTGACGTCGTGACACCGTGAGGCTACACTGATAAACAAGCTGCTGGTAGCAGCAGCAAGCTAACACTGCATGAAACGGGTTTATTCTGCTGTCACAGATTTTTTCTTCTTTCCTTTCCCTGATACCGAGTCACGAATCAAAGAGCGGCGGTTTCTATTCATGTGGCGTTCTGTGTGTTTAATCAAGAGGAGGGTCGCTATTTAGCGGTCTGCATCAACAAGAAGTTGATCATATGACAGTCAGTCAGCAGATATGGAGACTTGTCTGTCTCTCCTGTGTAGCTGTGATGAAATCAGCCACTTCTGTATGTCTGTGGGACTCTTTAAAACCAGTGGGAAATAATGAGGAAGTTCAAGATTCAGAACCAAATAAGAATCAAAAGAGGAAGAAAGAGGATTTTTACATGACTCATTCAGTGTTAGTTTGACGTGTGTGTCTGTCTAATGCAAAGTGATCGGAAAGCACTGAGATTTTTCTTAATCAAAAGATGTGAGAACACAGTTTAAAGCAGGGTCTGTTGTGGATAGCCACACCATTTAACTGAACTCAGTTCTATTCAATATTAATTTGATCTTTTGTATTTGATCTGTATTTCTTAAACTTTGTACGGATAATGTTTGCTCACATCTTCTGAGCGTGCCTCCTTAACTTTTAGAGAAGAATACAAATCTAGCAGTGATACTGACTTAAAGTTCTCTTCCTGTAATGAATCAAGAAGCTAACTGTACGTCCAGAGAAACAGAATCAACTTTTTGGGATTTTCTTACCTGGATGATTGAGAATGCATTTTAACAATTTTAGTTACAACATCAACAACATGGTTCATTTTTAGCAAAGACTGCACAACACTAGGTGGCTGTAGCTCAGGAGGTAGACCGGGTGTTCTAATAATCAGAAAGCTGGATGTTTGATCTCTGACTGCTCCAGTCTGCATGCCTTAGCAAGATACTGAACCCCAAGCTTCTCTCTGATGCATTCATCAGAGTGTGAATGTCAGATAGGAACCATTTAGGTTGGTTGGTAGGTTAGGTTGAGCACATAGCTGCTAACTCCTTTGTAATCTCAAACCCTTTGGCTATCCTGTGTGCAAAGATGACTAATTGGGCTGTGTTGTGGACAAAAAGTTAAAATTGTCCGCTTCGTATTTTTAACTGAAGCTCCAGATTTCCAGCAATATGCTCGAACCATCTTGTTCTGGTTCACCTGGAGAGGGTTATATTCTCAAATCTTTCTTTTTTCTCAAGGCACATTAGTTCAGCTGTCTTCCACACACTCTAGTAAACTCCATCAGAAGCTGGATAACTTGTGTTTTTGCGATTTTGTGGGAAATCACACAGCTGGTCTACACTTCCTGGATGAGCTTGGTTAAAATAGTCCTTGTTGCTTTTGCAGCTTTGTTGGCTAAATGTCAGACGTCTGTCCCTGCTATGCATCAGTCAAGTTCTTGTATTTTTCAGTGTGTTTAGTCTCATAATTGCGATTTAGACTGTAATCCTTAAACAACAATTTGCTCTCCACAAACAAACACACAGCTTTACCTCTGACTTCAGTCCATGTCTTATTAAAAACTCTACACTCATCTTTCAGGACTAGCAAACTCACATTTCTCATAAATGTTGGTTCCAAAGGAACATTTACAGTCATGCTTGCATAAACATACCTATGTACATTAAAAAAGAAAATAAAGACAGCAAATTTGTATTGCGTATCTCCACAAAATCAGAAAAAATTGTAAGCTATTATCTCATTACAGCTTATGGTGAGGAATTTATCAAAGAGTGTTTTGAGACTGAATACAGGACAAACTGCATGATGTATACTTATTTACATTTTAATTCCAATTTCCCACCAACCTAAAATGGGCCAATCAGGAAAAACCAATGGCTTGGATATGGCCGTACATTGGGCCCAGGTCTGGTCTAAAGGTAAAAGTAAAAGGTAAAAGCCATGCATTCATATGTTAATTAAGTAAAGATGCAAAATGAATAACCTGCCTCCAAAGCATTACATAAGTATTATTATATTATCAGATTAGGATTTTACTGGAGCATTTCAGGTAGTGCTGCCCATTCACTAAATCGAAAACATAACATGAAAAAATTAAATCTTGTTTTTTTCACCTTCAGTAACTTCCTTACATCAGCGGCACGGGGGACAAAATTCCTGCCAGCAGCCATGACAGAATTCTGGTTGATCTCGGCTCCCGGGGAGAAGACCTGCCAGCAGACCTGGGACAAGCTGATGGTGGCCACTACGCGCACCAACAACCTCTCCACTAACAACAAGTTCAACATCCCTGACCTCAAGGTGAAAAAACCCCAAAACACAGCAGTCCTCTGTGGCTAAGGCCTCAGTGATGAATGCATAGGTGGACACCAGCGTGGCCATTATTTGCCTTTTTGCTTATGTTTTCTGGTCTACCTCTAACAGGTTGGGACTCTGGATGTCTTAGTTGGCCTGTCAGATGAGCTGGCTAAACTAGACACTTTTGTGGAAAGGTAAAGTTTACTGAAACATGACAGAGTTTTGTGTAATGTGTTTGTCAGGCAGCGGAAGAGTTGTGAGCTCAGTTTTATAAAGAGTGAAAGAAACATTTAGATAGAATCATGCTAATTGCTGTTTCGTTTTTCTGCTCTCTCTGCTCGTTTTCTATTCACTACTCATCCTGAAATCGGATGCAGTGTGGTAAAGAAGGTTGCTCAGTACATGGCCGATGTTCTGGAGGACAGCCGAGACAAAGTCCAGGAGAACCTGTTGGCCAATGGAGGTAACCTCTGCTTATGTAATCAGGCAGCTTCTTAGAAAAAACAAGTCTATTTGCTTTACAGCTATTAAAGTATATGGAAATGGAGATTGATGCTGATGTCTTTGATCTTGTTTCTACTTGATACAGTTGACCTGGTCACCTATGTCACCAGATTTCAGTGGGATATGGCGAAATATCCGATCAAACAGTCTCTGAAAAACATCTCGGAGATCATTTCCAAGGTAAAATCAACTCTCTTTGTAAATTAATTATTAATGCATTGTGTTGTATATTGCTGAAGTCCTGGTTGATGAGTTGAGATTTCATCTATTGTATTAAGACATAAATTGTCCCACAGTACACTGACTATATCAGATTTTTCCAGCTGCACTGATCAGCGATGATGTATTCACCCATACCTGCTTGGTTTTCTAGCAAGTGACTCAGATAGACAACGACCTGAAGGCCAGAGCTTCGGCTTACAACAATCTAAAGGGAAACCTGCAGAATCTGGAGAGGAAGAATGCGTGAGTAAAACAGCCGTCACTAGCACAGACGTTTGTGGACACAGTGGACGAGTAGCTGTTGTTGTTGTACTTGTTTCAAGTCTGCTTGGAGTCCATCTGTGCATGGTTGAAGAGTTGTGTGTGATTACAAGGAATTTAAAGGGCACATAGTCATCTGTGCTGAGCCTCGTAATGAAATGTGTGTCCCTCAGACCACAGCGCACCCTTGCATAAATATGGGCCTATGTTGGCCCAGAGCGCTCATGCAAAAGAAATTATTCATCTCACAAGAGTTACTTTTGGTTAAGTGAAAGTTAACAACAAAAACAAAAACCATGCTTTTTTTACATTCATTGTGTTTCATTGATATTGTGGAATTGGGTGCTCTGCATTACGAGCTTTCACACATGGACACTATATATTTATTTTTTAATTTTTTTAAAAAAAAGCTGGATTTAGAGTTGCACTGAAAATTTGTATGTTATGTGCATTTTTGTCACATGTATAGGATTTTTTTTTTTTCTCATCACTGTAGAGTAAAACAATGTTTTAGGTTGTTGCCTGAGCATAATGTGAAAACATCTTAGCTTTAATAATGTTAACAATACTGTTAGTATGTAACTTTATTCAACATCTGTTTTCTTGTGCTCTGTGTATATGCATGTGTCTTTCTTCTAGGGGGAGCTTGATGACCAGAAGTCTGGCTGACATAGTGAAGAAAGAGGACTTTGTGCTGGACTCAGAGTACCTGATTACCATGCTGGTGGTCGTCCCAAAGTAAGTGCACCAGCATCATTGTATGCAGTGTGTGTGTCTTGTGAATACTTATTTCTTGAGCGCTTCTATTCATGGTGCAATCCCAGTTCCGAAAATGTTGGGACGCTGTGTAAAATGTGAATAAAAACAGAATGCAATGATTTGT